CTTCGTGGTGGATGAATGGCAGCTCCAGACACAAGAGGATCAGCTTCCTCTCCCCCTTTCCCCCCATTTTTTCATTTTTTCTTCTTTTTTCCATTTTTTCCCTTTTTTCCTTTTTTTTTTTTTTACCTCTTCTTTTCATTTTTCCTTTTTTGCCTTTCGAGAAACAAAAAGGGTGCCCCAATTCCTGCACTTATCTGACTTAACCTTCTACACACCATTAGGTTGTTTCCTCTGCCCAATCCAAGCGGTGGCTCTTTGTAAAGTTCATAGAACCAYGGGATGGTTTAGATTGGTTTAGGGATCACCTTGTTCCACCCCTGCCATGGGCATAGACACCTTCCACCAGACCAGGCTGCTCCAAGCTGTTAATGTTCTCTGGTTTTCAGTCTTTTACAGAAAATACCTTTTAATGAGGAAGATCCATCTGCTCTGTGGTGGATCTCCTCAATTCCAAGCACCCACAACCTCCTCCCTATACTTCAGGTGGAATCTTTAGGTGGAATCTTTAGGTGGACTCTGGCTGTGGTTTCAGCTGCTCTGGGAGAGCTTTGGGCACTGTGGTTTGATATGAGCAGGTTGCAATCCTCACACCTGGCCCTGAATCCAGGAGGAAACGTAAAAGCCATCTGTTCCTAGCTGAGCTGTACTGGGATGAACTGGAGCACGCTCCAGCAGCGTCACAGCAGTGACATTTGAGTTCCTTCACAGGAAAGCTGCTATGGATGCACGTGGAAGGAAGCCAGTTTCACCCACGTCCATGGAATGTTTGCTGTGAGCTCATCCRTGTGGGAATGGAGCCCTAATCCATCCAGCACTGGCATTTCCTCAGACCCATTCCTGTTCAAAGCAACTTCTCTCTCTCCATTCCTTTTGAAACTCTGTGTGGCTTCTGGGTGCTGGGGAGGATGCTGGAGGTGTGGGTTTGCTTAGTGGGGGTTTCTGCAGTTTCACCCCAAGGCAGGGACACAGAGGTGGATCTCAGGGATGCTGGTCCTGGTTGGGATGAGCTGACAGGACTCCAGCAGCTGGGATGGGGCAGGATGGCATTGCAGGTCTGGTGTCAACTGGGGTGACTCCAGCAGCTTTGGTGAAGCAAAATCCTTCTGCTCTGTTTGCTCCAYGGGCTCTCAGGGATCAGCTGGCTCTGGCCTTGGGTTTTCTTGGCTTTCGTGGAGCAGACCTTGAGCCAAGAGCATTGTACTGCCCCTGCTTCTCCAGCTGGATCCAAAGAGGTGTGAGGGGCCAGCTGAGCTTATGCTGCAGCATTTCAGCAACCTTGGGGAATATTTGTGGGAGTAAATAAGGAATTTAATATGGTCTTACATGTTGTACCCTCTGATTTGCCTAGAGGCCCCAGGATTTGGGGCATACTTCTGATAGAGCCAGCTTCATTAAGTAATTTAGAACATTGTTAATTATAACTATATAGAATTTATTTATATGTTCTATTGCTATATAAATATTATTTCTATTACTCTTAATATATAATATGAAGAATAATTATTATATAGTTGAATTTGATGATCTTAGAGTTCTTTTCTAACCTTTCTAATTCTATGATTAATAATTATATTAAAATATTTAWATGTCAAGAAGAGGGGCTCATATAAATGCCGTGATAGCCACTTCAGATCAATGCAGTCTTACTCTGGGCAATCTTGATCTTTAAAATCTTAAATGTTGCTTCTCTGTTCTAAGTCTAAATCACACTCTGAATCCTGATACTGTGTTGATCTGCTTTATGGTAGGATAATGGGAGTTTGGTGATTTAAAGGCTTGATAAGGGTTCATCAAGTAGATATCAAATGGACAAGAGTGTGGTTTCTCTGGAATTCTGCAGAATTTTGTTGTGTTCAGCAGGGACTATAGCCGTAATTCAGCAGGGAATAGTTGTGGCAGACAAAGCCATAGATTTGTAATTTGTTTGGGTTGGAAGGGACCTTAAAGCTCACCAGTGCCAYTCCTGCCATGGCAGGGACACCTTCCACTGTCCCAGGGTGCCCCAATGTCCAGCCTGGCCTTGGGCACTGCCAGGGATCCAGGGGCAGCCCCAGCTTCTCTGGGCACCCTCTGCCAGGGCATCCCCAACCTCCCAGGGAGCAATTCCTGCCCAATATCCCATCCATCCCTGTCCTCTGGCAGTGGGAAGCCATTCCCTGTGTCCTGTCCCTCCATCCCTTGTCCCCAGTCCCTCTCCAGCTCTCCTGGAGCTCCTTCAGGCCCTGGCAGGGGCTCTGAGCTCTCCCTGGATCCTTCCCTTCTCCAGGTGAGCACCCCCAGCTCTCCCAGCCTGGCTCCAGAGGGCTCCATCCCTTGGAGCAGCTCCGGGTTCTCCTCTGATCTCTTTCCAGCCGCTCCAGCTCCTTCTGCTGTCGGCCTTAGGGCTGGGGCAGCTCTGCAGGTGGGGGCTCACCTGGGATTCTAAACCTGCATTGCCTCTGCAGCTTGGTTTTGGCAGATGATCAATTTCTAGGAAACCTCCTCTAAGGAAACTTTTTTTAGAAAGCCTGGGTTTCCTGGTCAAAGGATTGCTTTGGTTTATAAATGGCACCGTGCTGGGAGGTGTTTCCTAGCATATGTGGGATCATCTGGAATGAAATAGGTGAGAAATTCCTCGCTTCTGATATCGGAAGTTTTACTAAATTGAGAAAGTCCTTGTAGGAGGGGTTGGTGGGAGTGTGTGTATAGTTAAACTTCAGAATATCTCCTACAGATCTTACAATAAATAAAATAAACTTCCTGAGCTTCTCTGCTTTTCTGTGCCACTGCACAAATAATGCTTTGTCTGGGTTGGGGAGTTGCAGCAAAAGAGGCTGGCATGGATTTCAGTTAACCAAAACTAATCCCTAAATTGGAAAATCTGTCTCTTGTGATATGAATTTCAGCACTGTTATAAACAAGATTAAATCGTCCAGCACAAGAACAGGTAAAATCCGTGAGCCAGCRTCACAGATAAATCAAATATTGGCTTTTCTGTGGCCTTTTCCTTTAATTTGTGGGGCTTTTTYCCCCAAATCCCTTAATTTGGAGTTGTTTTCACTCCCACCTGGCATAGTGTGGTGATCGGGATGTGCAGAAGTTCCCCAGTGTTTGTGAAACACTGATTAATTAATTAATTACTAAGCATTCCATGATTTTAACAAAAATTAAAAAATCTGGCAAACTACAATTGGTCAAATGTCTCTGTCTCCATTAATTTCTTTTTGGGGCTCTGCTGATTGTGTCTGCTGATCACTGAATTGGAGAATGCTTGGGAAGGACCTTAAAAATCAAATGTTGTGTGTTCTCTTGAAAGCCCATCCAGGACTGGGCCTGAACTCGCTGAAAGATGCTTTAGGACAGAAGAATTTGACTGGGTTCTCACAAAACCAGCAAGGCATGGCAAGGGCACCCTCAAGGACACATTAAAAATAGCTTTTGGAGAGCTTGCCACAAGCTTTGCTGCTTGCATGTCAATAAGGGGGGGAAATGATATTTTTATATGTGGGGAAAAAAAGCTCAAAGGTTTTGAAATGTTTTCCTTGGTTTGTTTATCAAATCAGTGTCACCCAGTGCATGAATATCAGCAAAGCTCAGCCCAGAGTGACCTTTAAAGAGCTGGAGGGTGGGATTTTTGTAGCAAAGTTGGTCTTCAGCATAAAAGGCACATAAAACATCACTTGCCTTGGAAAACCCCAAATATGTGTGGGAATAWAACCCATATTTAACTTACATGTGCAAGGAGATGTTAGATCCAAATGGAGAGGGGGAAAAGCACCAAGAAATAACAGGGAAAGTGAGATTTGAAATCTTGGAGATTGGAAGGCATCCAGAAGGAAGGGAACGGTTTGGGTGGGCAGGGAGTTTAAAACCCTTCCAGTTCTAGCCCCTGCCATGTGCAGGGACACATTTCACTATCCCAGGTTGCTCCAAGCCCTGTCCAACATTTGGAACACTTCCACGAATGGGGCAGCGACAGCTTCTCTGGGCAAAATTGGGTGTCTCAATTTGGGTTATTCAGCCAAGACTTTGGAATTTCTAACAGAAAACATCGCTTTTTGGCACAGCAAAAAATGAAATAATTCCAACCCTTTTTATTGCTTCCTTTTTCTTTTGGCTCTTTTTTTATATGATGGAGAATACAGGGAGGAGCTGTATCGCAGGATTAGTATCCAGAGTGATGCATGATGCAAAATAGTCAACACGCAGTTAAGTAAATAACTCCAGCACTTAGAATGGAAAGGGAGGCAAAAATGAGTAGTTTTTAGTGTTTATATTGTCACTATATTGATTACATTACTTTGCATAATTAAAAAGCCAGGAGACAGCTCACCAAAGAAAGGAGCATTTCCCAAAAAGATCAGTGTGTGTTCAGGGCCTAGAAGGGAATTAGAGTGGTAGAGTTGCTCATGGTCTTTTCCAGTTTTCATCCTTCCTTGCTCATTGTGGGAAGAGAGGATTCATTTGAATATTTTCTGTAAAGAATTTATTTCAGTGTTTTCCTTGTTGAAATGAAAACACTCATGGACTATTTAAGGCCAAGGAGTAAAACCAACCAGGCACACATGGAAATGGTGCTGCTGAGGGACAGTTTGAAGACAACAAATTGATGTCCTTGTGGTTTAGGATTTTTCCCATGGTATTAGAGTAGAGCACTGAACAGGTTTATTTGAGGGATTTATTTTTTGTATGAGTGTTTGAAATGTTCATGAAAGCTGAATGTTGGTGTTGGTGTGTCCATTTGCAAAACAAAATACATGGTGGTGATGGTGATGTTGGAAATAAATGTTGTGGGTGGGTGGTTTGGCTCTGCAGGATCTGAGTGCTTTGGGGGAAGGAGGAAGGAAGGGGAGCATCCCTAATCAGCACCCTAATCACGGTGTGATTCTCACCGTGTGGAATTTGCCYTTGGAAATGTCTGTTTACTCCATTTCATCTCAACACCTTCTGGATGGGATGTGGGATAGGATGGAGCTCTGACCTGGAGTTGTATTAACACTGAATTCTCTTTTCATCCACAGTGGGAGCGCCTCTGGTTCTTCATCCTCACCTCATCCTTCTTCCTCACCCTGGTCTGGTTTTACTTTTGGTGGGAGGTTCACAATGACTACAATGAAATCAACTGGTGAGTAGTTTCCCTGAGGAAATTTGGTTGCCATCAGGCCCCTGCTTGATGCAGCTTTGGATTCTTTTGGATCCTTTGGATGGACTTGTTAATGATGATAAAGGGAAGAGAGGCTCAAGGAGAGCTGCCTCTGCCTGATCCATGTGTAGATGTAACGTGGCCTCACATCTCCACTGTGTGGCTGGATTTTTTGTTTGTTTATCTCTGTCTATGGTTGGCTGGTTTTTGGAAGTGGCTGAGTAATTTGGCTGCAGCTATTCCACAAAATATCCATGGCATGAATTAAGCCTGAAGCACATGGGTGCGGAAAATACTACAAAGTTGGAAGAAGCTGAAAAGGAGCTTTGCAGTGGGATGTGCTGGAATTTAGGGTGTTGCCAGCTGCCTTCAGTGCTGGAAATCATTCTCCCTTTTATTATCGGCAGCATCTTAAAACATTTTGACATCACCTTGGGCTGTCTTCTAACCAAACCACTTTGACATCATCTTCTTGTCAAACAGGAGATGTAAAGTGCATTTTAAAACACACTGGGGAGCTGATCCCTTAAATAAATCATCTGCTTTAGATGCTGGAGTTGTGTGAGGGAGAGTGTTTACCAGCGTGGTGACCAGAGCTGGCTCCTCCCAGGAGGAAATTTTTTTTTCTCTTTGCTCACACCCACACTGTGAAAAGTAAAACCATCACCATGGCTCTGGATTGTAACAGCAGCGTGATAAAAATACCTTTAAAAAAGTGTTATTTTGGAACCCCTCTGTTCTTCAGTTCCTACCTTCAGAAAGGATGTGATTGTTTCTCGTCTGCCTCAGTGCAAAACCAACTCTGTCTGAGCTCAAAGTTGTGAAAGAGCCAAAAAYAACCCTGCAGAAATGAAGGAAAGTCCTGGGAATGCTGTGAATGGGCACTACAGCTGCAGGGCTGCCAAGTTTTGAGTCCCCCAATATTCCTGCAGGAATGGGAGGAGATGTGCAGTTCTGCTCTGGGTGCCAGAGGCATTTGGGATTTAACACATCCAGATGGCACCTGCAGACCAAACTCCTGTCCCTGCCATGCAACCCAGGATGSTGGAATCCACTGAAGAAGGATTCCCTCTTGTGCACCACAGTCATGGAAGAGGCTCTCTGGAAGGAAAACAGCATTTATTTCAGGAATTGCCATTCAGCACTGAAAATGGGTTGGTGCTCTGTGTGTGCTGTAGCCCCAGTGTGATCCCTGCTCCRCACAGCGGCACCAGAGGTCGAGCAGGGTTTCTGGAAAACAGCTGTGGAAAGGCTGGGAAGGAGGAAGAGAAAATGGAGGGAGGTTTTAATTACAGCCCTGCCAGTTCCAAATGGGGTCCATGCAGGCTGAGCCTGGTCCTCCTCTCTTCTAGCACAGCTGTGTGGGCTCTGTGAAAACAGAACYGTTTGGGGCCAGACAGGATGTGAAGGAGTTGAAAGCATCATTGGATTCCCAGCAGGGCTGTGAACCTGCTGCTAATGAAGCRCAGTGAGGTCCTGGTGCTGTTTAGAAACACCACCTTTGCTGTSCCTCTGTGGTTGTCGCTCCTGGGTTGTGTTTTTGGACAGGATTTCTTGGCTGCTTGCTCCCGCTGCCTTCCTCTCCGCTCCACTGTTTCATTGGCAAGCTGGCAGCTCCCCCYGAGGAGAGGAAGGTTCTTTGGGGCAAACAGCCCCCAAACAGCATCTCAACACAGGGCAGGACACACTGAGCTGTTGCCAGGGCCTCCCAGAGGATCTGGGAGAAGGGAATTGCTGTGATATTGGTGTGAGGAGCTGCTGAGCCTGTTCCTGCCCTCCAAAGCTCATCCTTGGGAGCTCTCCTGTCTCATGTCACATGCAGGTAACTACACTGAGCTCCTTCAGTCTGTCCCAGCAGGTGCAGAAAGACTGGAGGTGTCTGTCAACRCAACCCCTCAAGGAGCAGGGCAGGTTGAAGACTGGATGAAGACTTCCTCTCTCTCTGGGATTTGTTCCAGCRCTGCACCACCCTCCAGGAGATTTTTCAACCCAAACCTCTGAGGGCCTTTTCCCTCTGCCACGCTTGAGGAGGTTTTTCATCTTTATAGCTGTCAGGCAGCTTGGGCAGCAGTTAGGTCATTTCAACTTGTAAGGACTAAAGGGACTATTCTGGGCTTGAAATGGGCTTTAGAAGGACAAGGCAAAATTGTAGCCCAGCCTATATTGCTTCAGGCCTTTAGCCTTTTCTTTCCTTTAAGCAKAATATCAGTGAGATCCTTGTTAGTGAAAGTGCTTTGGGCCTCCTAAGTAATTTTTTTTTTAAGTTTACCGCTTCTGGCATTTTCCTTTTTGGTGTCTACACTTAATTGTGTTATAGTTCAGGTCTGCACTGTCTAAGGTTTGTGGTGCACCAGTACTGGCCCAGGCAGGCTGTGGGGGATTAATTGGTGAACCTGGCTGTGTTCGCCATGCACAGGACCATAAATGCAAGTTTGTGTAGCAAATGCATTCCTTCTTAGTTCTGGAGAAAGCTTACCTGCTTCATAACTACCATGGACCCAGAATTTTAAAACAGTCATTTGCACATCAAGGGAAGACCTGCTGCTGTCAGAGGGACATTGAAGGGACATCAGAGCAAAAAACTTAAATGAACTGAGAGCTAAGGAAGCGCTGGGTGGTGGCACCAGCAAAGACTTCAGAGGAGACCTCTTTTCTCTCTTCCCTCTTTTTTCCTAACAGCATGTGTCCATCCCTGCAGATCCTTGGGTTGTGCTCTTTGGCTCCTGAGCAGAACCTGGACATGGGCCATGCCTGCCGAGCCCAAGGATTTGCTTTCCAGATCCCATGAGGGAGCTTTATTCCTGGACAGAATTAGAATCAGAGAATATCCTGAATTTTGTTATCGAGTCCAGCTCCTGACTCTGCACAGGACAGCCCCAGAAATCACACCAGAGTTTGTCAAAACAGACCAGAGGTTCTGGCTGATGAAGATGCTGGATTTGAGTGCTGGGGAGGAGCTTGAGTCTTTGGCCTGCATTTATGTARTGCAGCATTTCTGTCTGTTGTTAAAAAAGGCAACAAAAGAACCCAGTCAGTTCATTAAATGAGCTGATTCCACCCCACAGCCATCTTGTCTTTTTTGTGCCAAAGCGTTTGCATGGAGATGTCAGCCCTAATCCAAGCCAATTTAGGGATGTTGGGTTGCTTTTTTTTTTCTAAAAATCCAGTGGGAAAGCTTTAATCCAGTCAGGTTTGAACTCTCAGAAGAAGCAAGAAGGGTTCTGGGGTTTCTCTGCCTCTCTCCTGGTGTGGTGGGTCCTGRGTGCCCTTCTTGTTTCTGCTCAGAGAAGGCTGAGCCTTTCTTGTGGTTTTGATGTAATGTGCTTCACCACCCTCACAGAGAAGAATTTCATGGAATAGATTGGATGTGTTGGGTGGGCAAATACCACCACACATGGAGATACTTTTCTCTTGTTTGTTGGGAGTATTTTTCAGAAAACTCAAGCTTGTCCTGAATAATTTTTATTTTCCACCCTGGAGTTGTTGCTGTGTTTGACACAATTGTCCAGTTCCTTTGTGCAGAGTTAATTTCCATGAGGTACCAAATCACAAATACTGTGTTTTGTTTTGGAGTCACTTGTGATTTTTGATTCCTGTCTCTTCTCTTGAATGATCCATTTTCTAAAGTCTTGTCTAATCCTAGTGAAGTTATTTTGGTGTTGAATGCCTTCTTAATCTGTCCTTCCCACTTCTSCTCCAGGTTTTTATATAACCGAATGGGATATTGGAGTGACTGGTCCATTCCAATCCTTGTAACAACTGCTGCTGGCTTTACCTATATTACAGTGTTGTTGGTGAGTAGAATGAAATCCCATTTCTTAGAGGTTTGTGTGTTTGCTTTTAAAATGCTGAGCAATTTTCCCTCTGAAATGATTTCTCTCTCATTCTCTTAGCCTTAAACTGCATAAAATTAAAAGTGAAAAATTGATGGTCTTTGACCTCAGCTGATCAAAAGCAGAAGACAGATACTCTCAGAGGAGGAATACAGTGCTTGTTTCCCAGAGTATGGTCCAGTTTCCACTTCCAGACACAAGTGGAAGTTGTTCCCCTTCATCCCAGGGTGTTGGGACTTTCAAGGTGGTGTCCATTCTGGTGGCCACGCACGGGCACCGCTTCCTGCAGCCCCAGGGGCTGTGCACCCGTGAGCCAGACTCTGAACTCCCTGCACCTTGAAGAGCAAAGTCTTTTCCTCCAGATCCTTGGCTATGGAGAGGATCTGCTGACCCATCCTCCCTTCATTCCTGCTGGCTGCCCTGGCCCGTGTGGTTGTGCCCTTGATGGTGACATGTCCCTGTGAGCTCAAACACTCCAGGGTGGTGACATGCCTCTGCTTGACTCTTGGTTTCTCCCTCCCAGATCCTGGCACTGTGTCACATAGCTGTGGGACAGCAGATGAACCTGCACTGGCTGCACAAGGTAAATCTCAGCTTYAAAGGGAGCAGGATCTCGGGAATGTGGGAGCCTGAGAAGCAGGCAGGGAGTGGCACTCGCTGTCACTGTGTCTCTGGGAAGAGCATAAAATGTCTGTGGTCTCATGRGCAAACTGCTCAGGAGGGGCTGTCAAAGCCTGGGGACAAGATTTTGGTGGCTTTTGGTCCTTGCTGATAGGAGAACCACCTGTGGAGATGGAGAAACACCAATGGTTAAAGCAGCCTGATTCAGTCCCAGCTCAGTTGCTCCATGAACCTCTCTGGGGCTCCTTTCTGAGCTGAACCCAGCTGGAGAGGGGCTGAGCAGATGTGAAGCTATGCTGGGAGAAATCAGCTGGAAAAACCTTGGGAGAAGATGTAGGTGTTAAATAAAACTGGGGGTGTGCAAGATGCAGGGTGAGCTTTGCTAGGCCCAAGGAGATTTGAGTGTGGAACAGTTTGAAAAGCACGGCTGTGAAACACAAGAGAAGATGTTTGGAGCACAGAAGGGGAGAAGAAGGGTGTGTAGGGAGAGAAAATGAGTTGGCAGGATCCCATTGTAGCTGGCAATCTGCTAATTGGAAATGAAGGGACCAGTCCTGAGTCTGCCAATACACAGCTCCTTCTGCGATTCTGCACGTGATGAAGTCTTGTAGGATCAGAGCCTGAAAACCTCCCAGGACACAGAGCAGAGACCTCCCCACACTCCTTCCCTCCCTCTTTCTTTTGCTTTTTTTCTCTTTACTTAGAGATTATAGAAATTGTSCTTCCTCGGGGGAAGAGGATGCAATCAGAGAGGGGGCAGGGACTGCCAGACTGTTGCTCCAAAATAAATCATCAATTTTTGAGTCTGACATATGTTTGTTCATCAGGGAAAATGGTATTTTTCAGACATGCTGGTGGGCTTATATGGGTAAATCCAGAAGAAGGATGTGTTGGTGGAGATCAGTCCTACCCTAAGGACCYCCACCCTTCCTTTGCTTCTTCCAAGGAGCCCAACTTTCCATCACAGCTCAGATGTGTTGCTCTGTCTGTTCCCTTCCCCACACCACCCTCAGAAGGTTGAGATACAAGACTGGAATAAGTTAATAATTTTCTCTGAACTATACAGAATTAACTTCAAATATAGATGAAAGTATGTGGGAAAGGCTGGTATGTGCAAACCACACAGCTCTTCCAATTTTCTCCTGTTATTCTGTGCAAAGAGGTGAGTGTTGTTAGCCGAGTTGAAGATGGCTGTGAGGGGAAGGGAAGAAGCAATAAATTGGAGCCGATGGGAGGAGGAAAGGGTGGAGTGTTTGTGTCCTGACACCTCTGTGGCACATGAGATGGCCACATCAAGGGGAATTAGGGCTGTAGAAGAAAGAATCCTATTTATATGTACCAAAGTGATTCTGAAAACGTTGGGAATGTGGGATTTTATTTGCTGGTCTATTAAGTAAACCTGAAGTTGGCTTAGAGATGCCATGTGTAACCGAGATGATGAGTTCAGTTCAGGGAGCTGACTTGACTTCTGCCAAGTCTCCCACACAGATTTTGGATCTGCAGCAGCATCCTTTGGCTCTGGCAGATCAGCAGAGAGTGAGTGGATACCAGACAGAGGCAGAGAGTGGGGAATTATTTTTAGACAGACAGCCCAGATTTTCAGTCTTTGCAGCTGGAGTTATTTCTGTGACACTTTTGGATAATTTGAACTTTTTACCTTCACTATGGAGGTCACATTTTCATTTTGACTGCTTTGCTCAGAACTCTGCTTCCACGTGACAGAGAGGCTGGGGGATGTCCTGATGGGCTGGATCTTGGTCTGTAACCTCAGTGCCACCACTGTCCTATCCAGAGTCCCTTCTCAAGCCCCAGTATCTAACAGGTTACAAAGGACAGCACATGAGCCCAGACTCTTTCTCTGTGGTCCTCATGCTCCTTGTTTTAGGCTTTTCATTCCATGCAAAGGTTTTCTCTCTCCATTTCCCCATCTGTAAAATTTTTATGATAATCCCAGCCTCCAGCCTGTAAATATCCTCTGATTTGTCACAGATTGGCCTGGTGACAACCTTGATAACTACTGTGGTGACCATGTCATCGATAGCTCAGCTTTGGGATGATGAGTGGGACATGGTATTTATTTCATTGCAGGTAAGTTGTCTGCAGGGATGCTTCCCTGGGAAGGAGGGGRAAAGGGCCATTGCAGCTGAATTCCATGGGATTTATGCATTTCTGTAGGATGAAGCTCTGTCTTGATGTTTGTCACTCGCCAAATTGAAATCTTGGCAATGAGAAAATTATTTTAAGAAAGACTTGTGGTATCCTGCAGGGCTGTAGAAATATCAGAGGAAAATACTGACAAATCTGTTAATTTCTTCATAGAACTGCTCTCTGTTCCCTTTTCCCATCTTCTTCAAAAGAGAGTCCAAAAATATTTTGCCCATTTTTCTTAAGAGGTGATCACTGACATGTATTTGGGAGTATGCAAATCTATGCAAATACAGGGGGTGGAAATGGCATTCGCACAAGTGACTAACGTTTCTCAGAAGTGTTTTATTTTATTGGGGTTTTTTCAAGATTTAGGCAGGGAATCAGAGAGCAGAAGCATGACTCAGATAATGCATCTCCAACTTTGTGTCATGRTGATGCACCCTGGTGATAAACAGTCCAGTGTGTTCAGAGAGTTCCAGAAGAGTTTGGGTTGGAAGGCACCTTAGGGATCATCTAATTCCCACCCCCTGCTGTGGGCAGGGACACYTTCCACTGTCCCAGGCAGCTCCCAGCCCCAATGTCCAGCCTGGCCTTGGACACTGCCAGGGATCCAGAGGSAGCCACAGCTTCTCTGGGCACCTTGTGCCAGTGCTTTACCACTCTCATCATATTTTCTTTTATTTAATCTGAAACTACACTATTTCAGTTTAAACCATTCCCCCATGTCATGCTGCAGCTGGCCCTAATAAAACYTGTCCACAATTTTCTTAAAGACTGACTTTGAGTCCTAAAAGGCCACAATAAGTTGTCCCTGGAGCCCTCTCCAGGTGAGCACCCCCAGCTCTCCCAGCCTGGCTCCAGCAGCACGAGGATTTGGAAGAAGCAATGGCCAAAACAGCTGCAGGAGGCTGATGTAGCAGCAGGGCAGAACCCAGCTGGAAGTGGAACCTGTGAGATCAATGAATTTTCAAGGTGTTGCAGTGTTTTTAATCACATTTTCCTCTCCTGTTGTTGTGCCCTGCAGGCCACAGCCCCTTTCTTGCATATAGGAGCCCTGGCAGCAGTGACAGCACTGTCGTGGTTGGTGGCAGGGCAGTTTGCACGGACAGAGAAAGCCAGTGAGTACCTCCTGTGTCCCTGCAGGGTGGGGAGTGACTGGTCCTCTTGTTTCTTTTTTCCCGCTTTGCTTCTCTTCTT